ACAGGGGCAGGCAAAGGCTTATAGCAAGGGAACAGCAGTGAAACTGGGAGAAGAGGGCCTGGCTCAGGCTGGGCAGTCTGGTTCTCCTCTATTGATACAAAACCCGACACCTTTATGTCCCTTTTTTCTTCAAAGAGAAAATAGAGGACATAAAAGGCTCCTGGTTTCGTATCAATAGAGGACAGAGTAGCAGAAAACCAGAATGTCCTCTATGATGGCCGCCCTAGCAGCTGCACCCACCCAGGCTCCTTACCTGGCACAGAAGGCGTCCCTGGGCCACGGGCCACCAAGAAGCTTGCCAGCACCCTCCGGCCATGCATGGCCTGGGGTAGCCGGAAGTTGTTCTCCAGGAGTTTGTCGTGGTCTCCATACAGCGTCTCCTCCAGCTTCAAGATCTGCAGGGAGATGGGTATGAGCAGGGCCCAGCTGCAGGAGCCCAGGGCCACAGGCAGGGCCAGGATTTCCCCAACCACCCCTGTGAGTCCCCACAGCAGAGTAGGTGCCCCCCCACCCCTGACCGACCTGGTCCAAAGACAGGCGCACAGTCTGGTTGAAGACAGTCCACGTCACAGTCTGGTAGCAGGGCGGGGTGGTGAGGGAGCCATTGTACCAGAAGTAGCGGCTGAGATTGGCAGGGAGCAGCCCAGCAATGTTGAACCCAGGCACAAGTGTGTCCTCATCTGGAAGAGAGCAGCAGTCGGCAACCAGAGCCACAGTGCCTGTACCTGCCCACGTGTCATGTGGCTGGGGCTGCACCTCCCCACGGTCAGGGCCACCGCAGCATGATCTGGAACAGCAAGAGTCAGATCTATACCTGTAGATTGTGCCATTCTAGATCATGCTAGACCTAGACCCACAGCATAATTGAGAACAGCATGATCCAAATTGTGCTGGGAAATCTCAATCAAGAACAGCTCGACTCAGACCCTGACCAAGAACTAAGCATTGAGCACAGTTCAATCAGATGTGTAGCATGATTTAAAACGGTGCAACCCAGGTCTGGATCCCCAGCGTGATCTAGAACATCACAGTCCCCTGCCCAGCGTACCCAAGCTAGGACATGCCCAGAGCCTGCCCTGCCATTGGCCCTGCTGCATCGGTGCCTCTAGCACCTCTGGGATTGCCTGGGCCCCCAGTCCTGGAGCTCAGTAGAGGGCACTGGAGCCAGAGTGGGTTTGGCACTCAGAGCCCCCGAGGCAAGAGGTGCGCATGGGTGCTGGCTCCGCAGCCTGAGTGCAGCTGGCCACGCAGAGCCTGTCGGCACAGCCTCCCGCTGTCTGCCTGACACATGCCGTGTCCCCACACAGGTGCAGCTCCCAGCCCATGGGCATAGGGGCAGAAGGGGCGGTACCTTCTTTAGAGACCTCTTCCAGGTGCTCAAGCACATGCTCATAGGACGGGTTTTTCTGCGGCCCAACCTACAACACAGAGACCTGGGGTGAGCAGCATGGTTCAGGCCACCCAGAAGTCACCCTGCCCCTGGCACAGCCTATCCATAGACAGCGAGGGGCCAGGGGACAGGAGGGGCCCCCCCAGCACTACCCCCGACAACTGGTGACTGAGGCAGGTCCGGACTGGCACTGCCCCTGCCCTTCCTCACAAGACCTGCCTGTGCCCAGCCCAGCCCCAGTCCAGGATTGGGCCCCTAGGCCTCACCTGCAGAAGCGCGGCAAGCACGGCCAGGCCGTCAGGTTGGGTCTTGGCTTCGTCGAGGTCATCGTACCGGGTGTTGTAATGCACCACATGGATCTGAAACCGAGGCAGAGGCCCTGAGCTCTGCCCGTGGGCGGGGGGAGGAGCAGCGGGGCAAGCTCTGCCACTGCTGGGCCCCCACAGCCACGGGGCCAAGCCCAGTGCCAGGCTCCCACCGCAGGCTACGCACAACATCTCCCCAGGGTCCCTCTGGCTGCACCCGCCGCATGCTCCCCCCCGCAGCCAGGACGAGGTGCAGCCCTTCCTCCCCTGCCCCGGGCACCACCGCCAGCACGAGGCAAGGGGCTGCACCAGGTCACGGGCTCGGGCTGAGCCACTGCAGGATCAAGCCACCCAGAACCAGACTGGGGAGCACAGCATGTCTGTGTACAGGACAAACAGCCCCCAGCAGCGCTGTGGCCAGGCTGCCAAGCACACAGGAATAGGCACTGGGAGCCGGCCCAGCTGCCCTCCCTGGCCCAGAGACCCTCCAGTAGCCCCCCCGAGTGCCAGGGAACAGGAGCAGCCACCTGTCCACGAGCAGGGCCCTGCCTCCTCCGGCTCCCTGTGCTGTGCTGGCGCCCGGGCAGTCGGGCTGAGGAGTGAGGGCCCTGCTGCACTGTGGGCTCTCACCTCTGCGTGAGGAGGAGGGGGTGGTGCCCCCTCAGCAGCAGGGCAGCAGTGACTGGGATACCAAGCCCCCACACCCCTGCAGGCGAGTGGCTGCCACAGGGGCTGGGGCAGTGCCTTACCTCGGCGTGGTAGCGCCGGCCGTCCACAGTGTGCTCAGAGCCGGGTCCGGTGGGGGAGCCCCAGTGCAAGTGCAGCTGCACAGCCCGGTACTGCTGGCCGTCGCTGCCAGACATGGTCAGGGTTGCGGGCAGACGCAGCATGACTGCAGGGAGTGAAGGGCCAGGTCAGCGGGACATGGCACCAGGAGAGATGCTTTGTGGGGCTGTGGTCTTGGGGGTGAGCCTGGAGGCCGACAGGATGCGGGAGGCAGACGGCTGCCAGAGCCTGCCATGATATACCAGGACAGCACACGTGTGGGGACTGCGGACCAGTCGGCGCCCTGCAGCCACCAGCCAGGGCGCCCCGAGCAGGGGGACATGCCAGGGTGCGTGCCCAGCCTGCCCACAGCAATGCCGCCATCATGGGGAGCAGCAAAGCATGCTGGGAAAGCTCCCAGGTAACGGCACAGGGCTGAACGGTGAACAAAGGGGAGGGCAGGCGCCACATGGGGCTCGTGACCGAGCCATGAGCAAGAGCAGCAACAGGCACAGCCACAGAGCTGCGGAGGCGGAGGCTGGGGCTGGCCTGCCCCCATGCTGCCCCCACACCGAGCACCTGCGCCCAGCACCCGATCACCACGCGGCACGTACCCGTGTGTCCGTTGTTCTTCAGCTTCAGCTGCTCCGAGGAGGGCAGGTTGTAGCCAGACAGGCGGATGGGCTGCATCTGGGGGCTGAAGAGTGCTGCCTCAGTGACGATGTTGATGGGCGACTGTTTCTGGCCGCTACAGTGCGGGAAGCCCTGGCTCCACGCCGGCATGTCTGGGAAGGGGAGAGGGTGTGCAAGGCATGAGCGCGGCAGGGGCTGAAGGGAGTGTTGGGGGCCAGGGCACCAATGGGGGGCGGGGGGTGAGCCTGCGTGGGGCAGGGTGTCCAGGGGACACCCCGCAGACAGGATCCAGGTGCCCCGGCCTGGACTTTGCTGCCAAAGCTAGAGAGGGGACGCGATTTCTGACTGGGGCTCAGTGGGGCCCACAGACCCCGTGCCCCATCTTCTGCTCACTGCCCCACCTCAGGCTCCAGCTCCAGCTCCAGCTCCAGCTCCTCAAGGTTGCTCAAGGCCTTGGCAGGAGCCGCCTAGGCCGGCAGCGCCACGTGCAGCTGTCGCAGGGTCAGAGCGCAGCGCTCTGCCTGGAATGTCTATTTTAGGGGCTGCTGGAAAGGCCAAGCAACATGATTTACAGCCCAGCCTGGCAGGCAGACAGGGGCTGCTGGTGCTGCAGCTCAGCCGTTGGGCACACGCTGCCCCCCACAAGAGGCCCCTTGGCTCAGGGGGCCCAGCCTGCCACGTGCCCAGGTGGGCGAGTGCCAGCACCAGGTCTGTGGCTGGGCAGCATCTCGCAGAGGGGGACCCAGCCCCTGGGCGCAAGGTGAGGCCAAAGCCCCATGGCAGAGCACAGCAGCCAGGGCCCCCAGGTGACCCCTCCCTGGGCTCAGCCCAGGGGCAGCTTCCTGTGCTGAGCTGCGGCTGTGGCTGTGCGAGCGCCCCAGTCAGGGCTGAAGCCGCAGGGGAGGCAGCAAGCATTTGTCAGAGCCCGGGGGACCCCTCAGGGACCCCGCGAGGGAGGAGTTGGGCTGCAGGGCACGCAGCAAGAGCCCCCTCCCAGGAGGAGAGTGGCTGCACATGCTGCCCAGGCTTGCAAAGTGCCAGGGCAGGGCTGGAGCATGCGCCGCGGCTGCAGCAGGGCTGGGGCAAGGAGCATGGGAGTGAGCCAGGGGGCCGATAATGATTAACCCGGGCTGGCAGGGGCCCCACACCGCAGCAGAGGAGGCTGGAGCGCCCGCCCTTGGGTCACTTACCTGAATAGCTCCAGTGCTCATGGGCGGCACCTGGGAAGGGAAGAGAAGAGGGACCATGAGTGGAGCCCTGAGCTAGCAGCAAACATACCTGTGGCAGGCTGCACCCCCCGGTCCCCTGCCTCTCCCCCCGGTCCCCTGCCATCTTCCCCCCGCCCCAGGAGCCATGGGACCACCTGGGGCTCCAGGGCTGGCCAAAGGGACCAGTGGCAACAGCAGCACCACGCCTTGGGTCCTGGGACCCTCAGCAGTGAGGCCAGAGATGCTCCATGCACTGAGGCCCGGTGCGGGCTCTCCCTGGCACATCCCCCCTCGCCCGAGCACCCGATCCAAACCCTCTGGCTTGGCCAGGCTCTGGCTCTGGCTCCTGCTGAGTCAGGTCTGAGGCAGCTGGGGCCGGGAGCCAGCATGCTTCTCACTGCTGGCTAATGAGATGCAGATGGCCCTGCGGCCCAGCACGTCCACCATGGCCCTCAGGCCACAGGCAGCACCGTGCAAACTGGCTTTGGGATGCTGCACTGGGAACCAGCATCTGCACAAGGCCTGGAGGTCGCATGGGGGAGGGCCCAGGAAAGATCTGTGGGCTGGAGAGGGGGAGGGCTGGGGGTTGGCAGACAGCAAAGGGCAGAGCAAGGCCTGGCGGGGGGCGATGGCTGGAGCAAAAGATCCTGTGGCCCTGCCTGGTCATCACCTCAGTGACCCAAGCACAGCTCCCCCTCTCCCGCCCCATGATCCCACACACATGGCAGGTCCCTGGCCAGGGGCTGTGCAGCCCCACAAGGGGACAGAGCCTCCAGGAGCCAGCACCAGACTCCAGCCCCCAGGAGCCAGCTGACAGGCTAACAGCTAGAGACAGGCCACTGCTAATAATGCAACGACCCCTCCTCGGAAGAGGGGAAAGGAGTAAGGGATGGTTCTCAGGCTCAGGCTCTGGGGAGCCAGACTTCCTCCCCTGCCACTGGGCAACGTGCATCCCCATCTCAGGGTCACTGATGGGGGGAACCCCTGACAATGGGAGGACCCGGGATGGTACAGGCGTCCACCAAATAGCAGGCCCCTGGCCTTCGGAGCATCCTGCCCAGGAAGTGCCACCCTGCAGCTGCTTCTGGCACGAGTGGGGCACTCAGTGCACAAGGTGGGGGCAGAGGAGCATCTGGGCCAGTGGCAGCATGGCTTGGGCACCCCATCCTATCCATGCCCAGGGCCAGTGGGGCAACCCCAGGCAGCTCAGGGACCCCAGCAGCCACACTGGCATTTAGGGTGGGTGAGTTCAGAAAGGACCGAGGGGCACCTGGTCCTGAACTGTCCCTGCCCAGGACTGATCCAGCCTCCTCCCAAGCTCTCCTGTACAGGAGACTCCATCCCCCAGGGAAGCCGGTGCCTCTGCCTCCCTACTCAGACAGCAACGAGGTTCTCCTGGGGCCCATTACAGCCATTGCCAGGTCTCCTGCTTCTGAAGAAGGGGTGACAAGTGTCCTCCTCCTCCTCCCCCTCCCCCTCCATGGCAGCCTTTCAGGCATTTGCAGATTGTTACCATGCCCCCTCTTAAGCTCCTTTTCTGCAAGCTGAACATAGCTTTTCCTTGCACAGCTGCCAAACTCAATGCCTGAAGGTCTGCAACATCTGCTAAGTATACACTTGGTCCAACAGTGGTCACCAAGAAAACCAAACCCCACTTCTTGTACATGTCCTGGACTGTCATGAGTACACTATCAGCCCAACCACATTTCAACTCATAGATCATTTTTTCCACCCACCTCTGGACCCTCAAATACCTCTGTGTCCTTAAAACGTGGAGCCCAGCCCTGTGCACTGTGGTCTAGAGGAGACCTAGAGTGGTACGGTTGCCTCCTGCATCTTATGCCCGATACTCCTTTGATGCAGCCCAAAACCACACTTGCTTTCTCCGCTGCGGGTTGCTGCCTCACATCTCGTATGCAGCACACCCAAAGCCCAGGCCCTGCCTAGCACTGCTGCCGCCCCTCCTGCCCGGTCATCTCCCATTCAGCACTTGGGCTTCTCATTCTTCCCTAGGTGCATCCCCTTGGATGTGCTTGTATAGTCTTCACGGTGATGCCTCCAGCTCTGCCATTCAGGCTTGCAAGATCTTTCTGGAGTCCAAGCCTGTCCTTCCGTGCACCTGCAAGCCTTCCAGCTGTGTCGTGTGAGAATCTGCTCCGGGAGCTCTCTTCTGGCCCCCAACTCAGGAACAGCCCCCTTTGAAACCTTCTGCCATTCTGACGTGAACCCATTCATGGTGACACTTTGCTTGGGGTTACCAAGCCTGTTATGTGGGCTGGATAAAGTTGCTCTCCAGCAGATGCACATCTCCAGTTTACATATGAGAGCTAAAGCCTCCCTCAAGCAGTCCCTCCATCCACTTAACCCTCTTCTGTGTCAAAGGAGGAGATCAAGTGGTTGCAGCATGATTTGTTCCTAGCAAATCCACGCCGGTGGCTCATGATCACCCTGCCGCCACCAGGTCTCTACAGCTTGCTTCTGTAACTTTCCTGATATTGCTGTCAGGTTGCAGGGCTGTAAGTCCAGGTGCTCCACCCAGCCCAACCTGGACCTTTCCTCCCAGCCCCTCCCTAGATGCCCAGACCAGACCTCAGCCCCCTGCATCCAC